GTGATTGTGGTGGTAATGGTGGTGGTGGTTGTGGTGGTGATGGTGGTTGTGGTGGTGGTGGTTATGACGGTGGTGGTGGTGATGGTGGTTGTGGTGGTGATGGTGGTGGTGGTGGTGGTGGGGGTAGTGGTTGTGGTAACGGTGGTGATGGTGATGATGACGGTGGTGGTGGTGATGGTGATTGTGGTGGTAATGGTGGTGGTGATGGTGGTGGTGCTAATGGTAATGGTGGTGGTGGTGATGGTGGTTGTGGTGGTGATGGTGGTTGTGGTGGTGATGGTGGTGGTGATGGTGGTGGTGCTAATGGTAATGGTGGTGGTTGTGGTGGTTGTGGTGGTGATGGTGGTTGTGGTGGTGATGGTGGTTGTGGTGGTGATGGTGGTTGTGGTGGTGATGGTGGTTGTGGTGGTGGTGATGGTGGTTGTGGTGTGGTGATGGTGGTTGTGGTGGTGATGGTGGTTGTGGTGGTGATGGGGGGGGGCTGTGGTGGTGATGGTGGTTGTGGTGGTTGATGGTGGTGATGGTGGTTGTGGTGGTGTTGGTTGGTTGTGGTGGTTGATGGTGGTTGTGGTTGGTAGATGGGTGGTTGTGGTGGTGATGGTGGTTGTGGTTTCTTTATTGGTGATGGTTGGTTGATGGTGGTGATGGTGGTTGTGGTCGGTGTATGGTGGTTGTGGTTGTGGTGTGATGGTGGTTGTGGTGGTGATGGTTGATGGTGGTTGTGGTGGTGATGGTGGTTTTGTGGTGTGTGATGGTGGTTATGGTGGTGATGGTAGGTTGTGGTGGTGATGGTGGTTGTGGTGGTGATGGTGTTGTGGTTGGTGATGGTGGTTGTGGCTGGTTGATGGTGGTTATGGTGGTTGTGGTGGTGATAGGTGGTTGTGGTTGGTGAGTGGTTGTGGTGGTGATGGTGGTTGTTGGTGGTGTTGGTGGTTATGGTGGTGATGGTGGTTGGGTGGATGGTTGTGGTTGTGGGGGTGATGGGGTTGTGGTGGTGGTGATGGTGGTTGTGGTGGTGATGGTGTTTGTGGTGGTGATGGGGTTGTGGTGGTGATGGTGATTGTGGTGGTAATGGTGGTGGTGCTAATGGTAATGGTGGTGGTTGTGGTGGTGGTGGTGGTGGTGGTTGTGGTTGTGGTGGTGATGGTGGTTGTGGTGGTGATGGTGGTTGTGGTGGTGTGGTGATTTGTGGTGGTGATGGTGGTGCTAATGGTAATGGTGGTGGTTGTGGTGGTGGTGGTGGTGGTGGTGGTGGTGGTTGTGGTGGTGATGGTGGTTGTGGTGGTGATGGTGGTGGTGGTGGTGATGGTGGTTGTGGTGGTGATGGTTGTTGTGGTGGTGATGGTGGTTGTGGTGGTGATGGTGGTTGTGGTGGTGGTGATGGTGGTTGTGGTGGTGATGGTTGTGGTGGTGATGGTGGTTGTGGTGGTGATGGTGGTTGTGGTGGTGATGGTGATTGTGGTGGTGATGGTGGTTGTGGTGGTGATGGTGGTTGTGGTGGTGATGGTGGTTTGTGGTTGTGGTGGTGATGGTGGTTGTGGTGGTGATGGTGGCTGTGGTGGTGATGGTGGTTGTGGTGGTGATGGTGGTGATGGTGGTTGTGGTGGTGATGGTGGTTGTGGTGGTGATGGTGGTTGTGGTGGTGATGGTGGTTGTGGTGGTGATGGTGGTTGTGGTGGTGATGGTGGTTGTGGTGGTGATGGTGGTTGTGGTGGTGATGGTGGTTGTGGTTGTGGTGGTGATGGTGGTTGTGGTGGTGATGGTGGTTGTGGTGGTGATGGTGGTTGTGGTGGTGATGGTGGTTATGGTGGTGATGGTGGTTGTGGTGGTGATGGTGGTTGTGGTGGTGATGGTGGTTGTGGTGGTGATGGTGGTTGTGGTGGTGATGGTGGTTATGGTGGTTGTGGTGGTGATGGTGGTTGTGGTGGTGATGGTGGTTGTGGTGGTGATGGTGGTTGTGGTGGTGATGGTGGTTATGGTGGTGATGGTGGTTGTGGTGGTGATGGTGGTTGTGGTAATGATGGTGGTTGTGGTGGTGGTGATGGTGGTTGTGGTGGTGATGGTGGTTGTGATGGTGATGGTGGTTGTGGTTATGATGGTGCTTGTTGTGGTGATGGTGGTTGTGATGGTGATGGTGGTTGTGGTGGTGATGGTGGTTGTGGTTGTGGTGGTGATGGTGGTTGTGGTGGTGGTGATGGTGGTTGTGGTGGTGATGGTGGTTGTGGTGGTGATGGTGGCTGTGGTGGTGATGGTGGTTATGGTGGTTGTGGTGGTGATGGTGGTTGTGGCTGTGGTGGTGACGGTGGTTGTGGTGGTGGTGATGGTGGTTGTGGTGGTGATGGTGGTTGTGGTGGTGATGGTGGTTGTGGTGGTGATGGTGGTGATGGTGGTGCTAATGGTGGTGGTGCTAATGGTAATGGTGGTGGTTGTGGTGGTGATGGTGGTTGTGGTGGTGGTAATGGTGGTGGTGCTAATGGTAATGGTGGTGGTTGTGGTGGTGATGGTGGTTGTGGTGGCGGTGATGGTGGTGATAACAATAATGATTATGGTGGTGGTGGTGGTGGTGCTAATGGTAATGGTGGTGGTTGTGGTGGTGATGATGGGGGTGGTGGTATTGGTGGTGACGGTGGTGGTGGTGGTGGTTGTGATGGTGGTTGTGGTGGCGGTGATGGTGGTGATAACAATAATGATTATGGTGGTGGTGGTGGTTGTGATGGTGGTTGTGATGGTGGTTGTGGTGGTGGTGATGGTGGTAATGGTGGTGGTGCTAATGGTAATGGTGGTGGTTGTGGTGGTGATGATGGGGGTGGTGGTATTGGTGGTGACGGTGGTGGTGGTGGTGGTTGTGATGGTGGTTGTGGTGGCGGTGATGGTGTGATAACAATAATGATTATGGTGGTGGTGGTGGTGGTGGTTGTGGTGGTGGTTGTGGTGGTGGTGATTGTGGTGATGTGGTGGTGGTTGTGGTGATGTAGTGGTGGTTGTGGTGATGTGGTGGTGGTGGAGCAGTGACTATGATGATACTAATACTGACAAGAAAAAAACAACAACATTAATAATAATATCAATAATGATGATCAAAATAATAACAATAATGCCAATAATAATAATAATAATAATAATAATAATAATAATCATAGTCACAATCATAATAATAACAACAACAATAACAATAATAACACTATTACTCCTACCACTACTAATACTACTACTACTAATAGTGATATCGATAATGATGATAATAATAATAATGATAATAATAATAATAATAATAATAATAATAATAATATCAATAATAACAATAATAATAATAGTGATACTACTACTAACAATGATAATAATAATAACAACATTAATAATGTAATGTAATAACAGCAACAACAAAACAATAATATAATAAAATAAGAGCGAGGGAGGGGGAGGGGAGGGAGAGTGGGGGAGGGGGAGGGGAGGGAGAGTGGGGGAGGGGGAGGGGAGGGAGAGTGGGGGAGGGGGAGGGGAGGGAGAGTGGGGGAGGGGGAGGGGAGGGAGAGTGGGGGAGGGGGAGGGGAGGGAGAGTGGGGGAGGGGGAGGGGGAGGGGAGGGAGAGTGGGGGAGGGGGAGGGGAGGGAGAGTGGGGGAGGGGGAGGGGAGGGAGAGTGGGGGAGGGGGAGGGGAGGGAGAGTGGGGGAGGGGGAGGGGAGGGAGAGTGGGGGAGGGGGAGGGGAGGGAGAGTGGGGGAGGGGGAGGGGAGGGAGAGTGGGGGAGGGGGAGGGGAGGGAGAGTGGGGGAGGGGGAGGGGAGGGAGAGTGGGGGAGGGGGAGGGGAGGGAGAGTGGGGGAGGGGGAGGGGAGGGAGAGTGGGGGAGGGGGAGGGGAGGGAGAGAGGGAGAGGGAAGAGGAGGAGAGGGAAGAGGAGGGAGAGGGAAGAGGAGGGAGAGGGAGATGGAGAGGGAAGAGGAGGGAGAGGGAGATGGAGAGGGAAGAGGAGGGAGAGGGAAGAGGAGGGAGAGGGAAGAGGAGGGAGAGGGAAGAGGAGGGAGAGGGAGATGGAGAGGGAAGAGGAGGGAGAGGGAAGAGGAGGGAGAGGGAGATGGAGAGGGAAGAGGAGGGAGAGGGAGATGGAGAGGGAAGAGGAGGGAGAGGGAAGAGGAGGGAGAGGGAGATGGAGAGGGAAGAGGAGGAGAGGGAAGAGGAGGGAGAGGGAAGAGGAGGGTGAGGGAGAGGGAAGGGGAGGAGGGAGAGGGAAGAGGAGGGAGAGGGAGAGGGAGAGGGAGAGGGAAGAGGAGGGAGAGGGAAGAGGAGGGAGAGGGAAGAGGAGGGAGAGGGAAGAGGAGGGAGAGGGAGATGGAGAGGGAAGAGGAGGGAGAGGGAAGAGGAGGGAGAGGGAAGAGGAGGGAGAGGGAGATGGAGAGGGAAGAGGAGGGAGAGGGAAGAGGAGGGAGAGGGAGATGGAGAGGGAAGAGGAGGAGAGGGAAGAGGAGGGAGAGGGAGAGGGGGAGGGAGAGAGGGAAGAGGAGGGAGAGGGAGAAGGAGAGGGAAGAGGAGGAGAGGGAAGAGGAGGGAGAGGGAGATGGAGAGGGAAGAGGAGGGAGAGGGAGAGGGAGAGGGAAGAGGAGGGAGAGGGAAGAGGAGGGAGAGGGAAGAGGAGGGAGAGGGAGAGGGAAAGGAGGAGGGAGGGGAGGAGGGAGAGGGAAGAGGGAGAGGGAGAGGGAAGAGGAGGGAGAGGGAAGAGGAGGGAGAGGGAAGAGGAGGGAGAGGGAGATGGAGAGGGAAGAGGAGGGAGAGGGAGAGGGAGAGGGAGAGGGAGAGGGAGAGGGAGCGAGGGAGGGGGAGGGGAGGGAGAGAGGGAGGGAGAGTGGGGGAGGGGGAGGGGAGGGGGAGGAAGAGAGAGAGAGAGAGTACGGCACCCCTCCCACTTTAACACAGGTACCCTGTATACCTGTCGTTCTATATGCACGCTCGTCCCACCTTTCCCCACTCTTTTAGATCATATCTCATTCCTCGTGTGTTCCTCGTCCT